AGAGAGAGAGAGAGAGAGAGAGAGAGAGAGAGAGAGAGAGAGAGAGAGAGAGAGAGAATCTATGTTTAAATAGATCCAGTGGATGCACCCTCTCCTGAACAGCGCTTATTGTTAGCCTGGAGTCATTATACACATCTTTCAAGTTCTACTGCTACCACCCCTCTTCACCTGTCAAGACTTGTTTCAAGTATCACCTTCTTAAAGGATCACTTTGGGTCCCCACTTCACTCAGTGCTGCTGTCTGTCTCCCCAGGAAGTCCCATAAATCTTTATTCATATGTTTCTCTTTGAATTTATCATAATGCAGGTTCAATTTATCATTTGCAGATTCATATCAAAACTGAAAGCCTAGTCGCTGAGAGGTTCCTTGATGAACATCGGAAATTGTGCTGTAGAACCAATGAGATAAATACTATATAGATGCAAACTCTAAAAGCTGGCCTCAGACTAAAATACTTATGTTTTTACTATATAGTGGTTTCTTCTGCCTTGTTATTTGAAGAAAACTTATCAAAATTTGAAAATCATTACCTCCTCCAGGTTATTTTATAGATTCATTTAGTCTGAATTACCAAACTAAGAACTGAGAATATATTGTTATTCATTTTGCTTCCTATTCTAGAGCATAGCATAGCATCTAAGACAGTTCTACAGTAATACAATAATGATGTTCTAAGTTATCTAGCTATTATTCAGTGACTTTATGTAGCATCAAAATATCCTCTGAATGGGGGTAATGATTAATCTCACAGAGCTGTAGTGAGTCAGAAGCATGCTGCTGTTCTTAGAAAAGGTGCTCAGCACAGAACAACTGTTTGTAGCAATGTCTGCAGAGAACTACTCTTGTTTTAAATTCTGTCTCTGTCACTTACTGGCAAATTATTATGAAAAACCTACATCATTCCTCTGTCTCAATTTCCCAATCTAGAAAAAGAATAGATATTAATAAACCTGCATATTTTAAATGCTTAATACAAATAATAAGTAAGTTACCATTGTATAAAACCTAAAAAGTATCATCCATGAGATAAAAGTATACATATTAATTATTATTATTTTCAATTTACTACTGTATAAATATCTTCATTTGGTGCTTATCTGTCTCTTTCCTAATTTGTACAGCTTTTACTACAGAAAAGAACCCAAATCTTCCTTCTGATATCAGAGAGCAAAAGTCTGTATTCACTAATCCTGCTAGGCATATGTTGTAAGTGTGAATGATGAAATGATCCATTCCAGTGCTTAACAGACTTAAAGAGGAATGATGCAAACAAGCAGCATGCAGTATCAGTGATGGAGGCAATTGTTTATTCTAACACCCAAGGGCAGTTAATGATGTCAAGAAAGCCCCTCAGGCAACGTCTTGGTGTTACAGATTCCTTCCAGCTGTGGTCCAGATTCTTTCTGATTTTTTTATGTTCGCAACATACCAATATAAATTGCACCTATGTGATTCAGAGTTATGCAACAACCATCATATGTATTTGAAAATATTTCTATCACACCAAGTAGAAACCTGGTTACCAATAGAAAAGACTCCATATCCTCAGCAACCTTGCATCCCCAGCCTAGGCAATTATTAATTTACTTTCATTATTTATATTTTTCTTTATTTTGAATGGTCATAAACAGAGACCATGGTATCTGTGTTATTTTATGATTGTTCTTGTCACTTAACATATTTTCAAAGTTTTCTCAGATTGTAGCATGTATGAGGACTTTATGCTTTTCTAATTCCCATTACAAAATCCACATTTTCCTCCTTATGTAAAAAATGAAACTATGTATTTTTTCTAGTGTTGAGGCTAGTTCTTTGAAGTAGATTCTGCCATCAATAGGGCTCTTGTCAACTGCTTAATTCCTGTTTCCTCATGTCAATCATCTGGCTTATGGTTTAGCTTGCACCTTTGATTGGAATATCATTTCTCTTCATGAGCTATCAGCATATACCCACTATTTTCTACAATTTGTTAGCTTCCTATCTTCTTATCAGTAAACTCAGGTCCTTTGGAGAGAGCTCAGGACTCTCTCTACCTGTTGTTTGTGTATGTCCTCGAACAATCTCTGAGGTATTGCTCCAGAGGGAGGAACAGTACATATCAACCATGGTCTACAAGAAGCTGGCCAGAGCTGATGATACTCTCTGATTTTTTTTCTGCTTGCCTCTTCCAGCAGAGAACTCCCACCCTAGATGTTATCTGTGTAAGGTATTTATTGATCTGGTATTCTTACCTTTTGTTAGTGGAATGTTTCATGGGTCCAATCCTAGAAATATAGAGGAAAACATACATATAACCCTACATTTTCATATATATATATATATATATATATATATATATATATATTCCATTGCAATTAAAATTCTCCTTACCTGTAAATGAAATGTTAAAATTAAGTTGCCTTTCCTAATTTATCCTATCAAGTTTTGAGTTTGTGAAATACTGGGTAGAAATACTTCCTACATAAGTTTAATTCACATTTATGACAAATAAAGATATTTTAATATGACTGTACATTTATTCCTTTTGACAACTCAGTTTCTTTTGGTTTAAAATGTCAGACTGCTCTAAAGGAAACATTGGTGATGGGGTGCCTGGCAGGTGTTTGCTTATTAAATACATTTCTAACTTAATTGTAAGAATATCTTCCAAGCATCTTCAGTTTCTTATAGCAGCATTTCTTTACTCTCAATCCGTCCCTGTTGTGAATAAAGGTTGTGGGTGCACAATGAACTTAAAAGGTCGGTGCATATGGTAAAACTAAAATTGCTATCCATGACAGTTACTTGTCAAAGATGTAACTCTCCATATATCCCATATGACTAGAAGAGGGTAAATTGGAAAGAAAGTTAAAAACATCATAGGATATGGTGGTGTCTTCTAGCTCCATGCCTACTCTATGATAATAAATTATTAGGTACTGATAAATTATAATATCCTTCCAGTTGTAGAAAATTGGTTATTTAGAACTATTTTTCTTGACTACACATCACTGGTATTCAGATTCCAAAAGAAAAAATAAATGAAATCTCTAAGATCATAACTCTGATTTTCTGAATACAACAATGGAAAACATTTCTACTATTCTTGTATGAATAACAGACAGAGAAGTAGAGGCATCATTCACTACAGAACAATACATCCACTGGAGCCATAAGCTAGTAAATAAAAGGAAATATTGATTGGAAATCGAAGACCTGTAGTTAGGATATCATTAGGATTAGGTACTCTTTTTATTGTGTCACATATTCTCCCTAAACTCTGGATTCATCAATTGTGAAAATAAACTGTTAATATTTACAATTTTCAAGCATAGACACTGTCATTTTTTTTCTGGTATTGTAGTTAAAACATTACGAGCTACCAGCTCTTGATCATAGAGAAAAATTAAAATATTATAAGAAAACTATCTTTCCCTTTGCATCTGTTTTTACATGTTATCAAACAAGCTATCAAGTTTAAACTCTTATAGAAAGAATAACTCAATTCCTTAATTACTTCTTCCTGACATTGAGATGCTTAGCCACCCCATTGTTAAAAGACAAATCAATACAAAATAAATGCTACAATATGTTCCAACCTTTTCTCAAAGAAAGTAGACAGTAGACTTTTATACTACACCTGTCTTGAATAAATCTCAATGATCAGCAACTATCTTGCATCATGAATCAACTGACAAACCAACTCTGAATATGAATGTACAGCTTTATGAATATTTGTAGTCAGATGACAAAGATCCTTCTTTAAAAACAATAGACTAAGTCATGTAATAACTGGATAGTTGAACATCTCTTTTTTCTTTTTCAATATCATTTTATGAAATAATTATTAATTCATTACTGTTAGTCATATCAATTTTGCAAATCATTTTTAATATTTATCTAGGTAAACATCCTAAAATGTAGACTGTAAGAAATTATTCTACTTGCTGAAAACATTTTGCATAAATCATATTTTACTCTGAATTCTATACATTTAAATATTGCATTTATTTTAATGCTGATCTTAGTGATGAAATAGATATTTCTTACTTTCTGATATTTTTCTATATCTGTAAATGTGTGGAGATAATTTTTAAACAATTATCATAAAGAGCATCTTCCATTAGCAGAATCAAGGTGGTATGCTGATAAAATAATGAGTCTTTTCCTAATTTGTAGGAAAAAATTAATGGAGATAATTTGTTCGGTCTTATGTGATTCATACAAATGTGTTTTAGAACATCAACTCTTCATGCTTCTAGATGACTCTCTTTTTCCATTGTATTCTGCACATATCACTGTCCTTTCCAGCAACTGAATACACCAAATAATTTTGAGACTAGTTAATATACCTTGAAATCATTAAGAAAAATGCAAATACATGTAATTCTAAAATTAATGCAGATAATATAGAGTAGCTAATAAATATCAATACTCTTTAATGTACTTATTTTCATGTGTAATTATAAAATTGTATATTGTGTTCCCTTGAGAATTGCTGAAGGAAGTCAAATATTAGAAAATGTCCATCATACAGAGAGGAATGCAAAGCCTTGGCTTCCCTCATCTGGTGGAATATTCTCCTAATGTTATGACACTTTTTTTTTTTTACAATTTATCATAGATGATAAAATTCAAATACTACTGCTAATTGTATCATTTGAATGTTCAGGAAAGGGGTCCATTTTAACATTGATAAACCTTGAGATTTTTTGAGTTAGACACTAGAGCTTTGGATAAATTTGAGTTAGACCCTAGAGCTTTGGATAAAACTCAATAGTAGAACACTTTCCTAGCATGTGAAGAGCCTCAGTTGTGTTATCGAAGACTACAAAATGAACCTTTAATGGAAATGATAGTCTCCAAGCTATAGAATAATTATTGTTAAAAAGTTAAAAAATACCCTCTGTCAGAACATTCAAGATGTCACAAGAATTGCCAGAACACAAATCATTACATGTATTGAATAACTTAGAAAAATATAAAATGCTTTAAATATCTGTCTCCCACATAGGGATATACTTACTAAGAAGACAGTTGTTTCATTTGCAGATACATGTTTTGGGGTATGATAATTACTTATACACTTTGCTTCTTTTTATGCCATTTTCTTCAATATAGTCTCCATTTCTTAGAGCTCAAAAACACACCCGAAACAATAGTCTGAACCTGACATAGAGACTACTGACCTTTCTTCATTCTGATTTCACCAAAATTTACCTAGTTATGTGAGAAGTCTTCACATAGTAATGTCACTGCCTTATGCTTCCAGGAATTGGAATGATTTTCCTCTTTCATTTTTATTGCTGTCTTCCTTTACATTATTCTCTCTTCCTTCTTCTACTGTCTTCATCCATCCCTTCCTCCCTCCCTCCCTCCCTCCCTCCCAACTTTGAGAACTCAGAATAAAATCCATATGACATACACAAAACACACACTGGAAATATATGGGAGGTCAGTGTTCAGGAAAGGCAAGAAATGAGATATGCATCATGGTAGAAAGAAGGGTTATAAGGGATAGGTGAACCTGTGTGGCTAGAGCAGGGTGGCCTTACTGGGCAGTGAGCTGGGGACAATATAAGGATCCTGTGATATGGGAATAAAAATCAGAGTATTATTTGTAGTGGAATGAGAACTCCAAGGAGGGTTTTAAGTCAATAAATCTAAGACTAAAATAGTAACAGCCAATGAAATAGTTGAGGTAACAGACACTGGTGCCTTGGATTTGACAGCGTTTGTAACAATGGAGAGACATTCACAGGTATGTGGATCTATATGATGGGTCAGATTAAAATATCTTTTTTATTAACATTTTTTTCTTTTTTTAATGGAAAATTTTAAAAAATAGATTGGAATATTCCTTGAGTTCTTTATTCTTTCTTTATTTTATAATTTAATTTAATTTTACATATCAGCCATGGATTCCCTTTTCCCACCCCCACCCTGCCTTCCCCCCAGCCCACTCCCATTCCCCGTTTTCCTTATCCAGTCTTTGATTGATAGGTTGTTTCCAGGTTCTGGCTATTATGAATAATGCTGCTATGATAAGCATAGTTGAGCAAGTGTCTTTGTGCATCCTTTGGGTATATGCCCAGGAGTGGAATAGTTGGGACTTGAGGTAGAATGAGTGATTCCTATTTTCTGAGAAACCGCCATATTGATTTCCAAAGTAGCTGTGCCTGTTTGCACTCCCACCAGCAGTGGAGGAGTGTTTCCGTTACTCCACAACCTCTCCAACACAAGCTGTCATCAGTGTTGTTTGATCTTAATCATTCTGACAGGTGCAGAATGATATCTCAGAGTTATTTTGATTTGCATTGTCCTGATAACTAAGGATGTTGAACTATTCTTTAAGTGTAATAAGACCATGTTATCAAGACTCTTTGGAGAAGAAATTTGCCTGAAGTGTCACTTTACAGTTTTTACATATTCATAAAATACCCCCAAACTGGGCTGTTCTTTATGAATGTTCACATATGGACATTTATGGGATTTTTCCCATAATTACATATTTTAAGTGGAACATAGTTATTTAGGAGAAATGAAAAAGTACTGATATACTTACATTAAAGCGATAGGATCAAGAGATAAAATGAAGACTAATTTATTGGTGAAATGAGAAAAACAAGTACAATGAAAATCAAGAGAACATTTGCATACAGTTTTGAATGATGTCTGACTTTGAATATTAGTAAAATGCATTTAGTTACATATGTTTTTATTTTAATATTTTAATACTAAATTCTTAAGCGAAGACAGAGAAAATTTCCTAAGATATAAATATATATTCATGATGCCCTTTTTCAGAAAGCAAAGTACTGAAGATTTTAATGCGTAATTCGGTGCTTTCTCAAAGTCTACCATAATCATCTTCTTTTTCTTTATTAATTTATCTTTTATTGTTTTAAAATTAAAATGTAATTACATCACTTTTCCTTTTCCTTTTCTCCCTCCAAACCCTACCATGCAGCTTTCCTGGCTCTCTCAAATTTGTGGTGTGTGTGTGTGTGTGGGTGTGTGTGTGTGTGTGTGTGTGTGTGTGTGTGTGTGTGTGTGTGTGTTGCTGTTGTTGTTGTTGCATATCTTTTTCCTAATGTATAAATACAACTTCCTCAGTCCATTTAATGTTTCTTGTGTGTGTATGATTTCAGGGCTGACCACTTGATGCTGGATAGCCATCTAAGAGTCTATTCCTCAAAGAAGACTAGTTCTCCAGTTTTCAATATTACTTAGTTGCCTGTGGTACTTTCTCTAGGATTAAGGATTTGTGATCCATCCCTCTTCTACCTTAGTATGTCTATTGTTGTCATCCTTGTTCTGGTTGTGTTTAGGCAACCATGTTGAGACTTCATGGGTGTAGCTTCCCTGACATTTCTAGGAAACCCAGTCTCACTGTAGACTTCCTTCCCCTCTAGATTTTACAGTCTTTTGACCTTTCTTCCAACCTGTTCCCTGAGGCTTGGGTATAGGAACTGTGATGTAGATGTATCAGGAATGACTGACCACTACAAGATCACTTGTTCTCCTTCATCCATTATGGTTTTCCAAAGGAACTTCATTGGCAACAAAGGAAAATATTGTTCTTATTACCTTTATTGGTTGCTGTTCTTAACAGGTGATTCAGATCCTTTTCATATTTGATGTTTTCATTATTTCTGGAACATTTCACACTTTTTGAATGTTCTTACCTTTGCTGGTCTCTCTAGTTATAACATTTTTTTGTCCAATTCTAAAAGCACACCTTTGCATTCCACTTAGAAAGTCCATGTTTTTTTGCACATTGCTCTGATGATGCCAGTGGTTCTCTTTCTTTTCTCCAATACAGCATCACTTACTGTAAATAGTTAATGTTGTGGCCTTATTTAAATAAATGTTAACATATCATAAAAGCAAAAGTAGAATCCACCACTTTTTCACTGCACAGAACAGCACTTCCAATGCAGTAGGCTCCTAATAAATATGCAGGGATTTGAATTACAAAAGCATTTCACAAAACCATAATTCAAACCACATCAATTAAATATATAAGCAATTTGGAATTTAAGCAGGGACCATTTAATTATGTTGTTCCTAGAGGTTACTTTTCCTGGCAGGATATATTTATAATTTCATAATGATTATGGTGTAGTTTACATGATATTCTTATGCAATCTTTTGTTAAGCAATAATGTAACATGGTATGCTTTTCAGGTTTACATTCCTATTGCTATCACTATTGTGCAACACCAATAACAGATGTGATAACCTAGTCATTATCTCACTTATTGTCAAAGTAATATAAATTACTTGCAAATTTCAATTGGCTAATAAAAAAATTTACTGAAACTGAGAGAAGCTGAGCAACTTCATAGAGCACATGGTTAGAGGCCAGCAGGGGGGGGGGAATGAATTTCAAATATATTTGTCCAGAATACTCTCCATTTTTTTCTTAGGATTCCATTGACACACCCCAAACACAGCAGCATCTTAAGCAAAAGGACAGATGTGCACATAAAGTGCCTGTTTCCTGGATTTGAGAGGAGTCTCTGTGGGCTCTGTTTACCTACACAACTTGAATGTAAGTATTTTACAACGTCTGCTTTTGGGCAACCACTAAGGGGCAGTGATACACAACAGTCAGCATGTTGTGGCTCTGTGCATTGAGTCATGGCAGCTACAAGCCCATTGCAGGGAAAAGAATTGAATCCTCTTGGTTTTATTTCTCAGTTGAGAACTGGAGCAGAAAGAAAGCAAAACACTTTGTCTCCCCCCAGGATCTAGTTATACCTTCTACTAAGACAAACACATCACTTTCAATTCTCCTATCCCACTGGTGATGAGAGAGAAATACATTCAGAGAACCAACTGGAGCATTCAGATAAACCTCGCACAAAAATAAATGGTGGCTTTGTTTACCGATCTCTTCCTTGTCTTTCTCTTCTGCCCTGTGTTCACAGAGGCAAGCAAGTTAACTTCAACCATGAAAAACATTAGTTCTCTGTTCACAGCTTAAATGTAAGATGTCAAATGGGCTTGGACATGTGAATGTTGGCTCCATAACTTAGTGCTCTGTTAGGTAAAGTTATCTCAGCTCTATCAGCCCTGAACTTCTGCATAATATCCTCAGGCATTGCTCTTAGGATGGACAAGATTGGGTGGAGGGAAATTGTTGTTATAAAGGTTAGGGGGGAAATCCTTATACTACACTTGACAGGTTGTATTGATCTACTACAAAATCTAACCATTACTGAGACAGATGGGGGAGCTCTGAGACTCTCAATCCCAAAATTGCATCAGCTATTGCTGATGCTGCTGCACATGCTGACAATAGCTAGAGTCTGAAAAGCAGGGTTTACATGCCTGAAATAAATTGTTTTGATTAGAACCTTTAGGAGAGAAAGTCATAAGGTACAGTTTTATCGACTACTTGCCAAACAACGCAGACCCATGCACTGTAAGCTTGTTTTCTTCTTGTAAGTCATGCAGCAACTAGGCTTTTATTTTCTGAGGTTATGGACTCCGACTATAATATATTATCATCTCCTCTGAATTATTGCATGCTTGGCAGACTAGGAAATGGAATTAATTTTCAAGGACTGCTGACCTCTCTCTTTATATGTTTACATACCTGCTTCAGACCTTGTAGTAGGTAAAGTGTGGTTTTGTCTACTAAAGACTGTTTTGGTTTCTTGATAATATATTAAAAATCATGGTCAGCAACATGACTTCCAAAACCTTGCACCCAGCTCTAAAAATAAATTGTAAGAGAATAACCCTTTAACTAGCCATGTTAGTAAAGCCTGCCGTCATTTTTTCCCCTATTCTTTCTGAAGCACATGTTCTACTTGCAGAGAGATTTCTTTTAATCTATTGCTGTTTTTTTTTTTTCAAAAGAAGACAATTTAGTGCAATCAACCAAACAAAATTTAGACAAATCATTGTAAAATGTAAAATGGGAAGCCAGCATCCTTGTTTTCTGAAGCTGGACTTGCATTACATTATCCCCCTTGAAAGCAATTCATTGCGATGTCCTTTTCTCAACAGAATGCACGGAGCTCATTCTTCTTCTTATTTTCCTTGCCAGCATAAATGGGTTTCAGTGGTTGCCATTCTAAGTAGAACTGAGTACACAGGTTCATTATATGTATTACCAGCAATGACACCATTATGCTGTGAATGTCATGCTTACATAAAAACAAGCATCATGCTTAGGGAGAAATGCATGTGCTTGCTTCCCATATAAATGATTTTATGAGACCATAAAATAAAGCCTGGGATAAAAGGAAATTCAAAGTGTTATATCATCTATTTTGTTAAAGATGGTACTGTAGGGTTTATATACAAATTCATTTCATGTCAATTTACAAAAATGTAGTAACTAACAAATATGATATAATTAAAGTGTGACTGATTCATAAATGTGGTTATATTTACTAATCCTACCACATTTCAAGTCTGTGTCAAGAGTAATTAAAAAATTAATATAATGCATGTAGAACATGATGACTTCCCTCTAGGGTTTTACAATCCATTCAGGAGAAATGAATCACTGCATGGCATTGCTCGCTAGGAAATGCAAAATGTCAACTGATTATTAAAGCCATGTAAGAAGACATCGATAAGGACCCGCTATTGCTTGCTGAATAGGACAATACTTTTTGCAGAGCAAATCCCTCCTTTTAAAAAAGGACATGGACTAATTAAAGTAGCAATGCCAGTATATATGGCTAACATTTGACCAATAGCACTTCAGGTTTCATAAATTGTTCTTCATATAGTGCTGACTGCACAATATTCTGAAATGGTGAGATCCAGCATCTCAATTTTTAATAACTCATTTGAATGACAAGTTGCCTAGCTTTCAATTTATATGCTGTAAGAGAGCTAAAGGTAAAATTAAATTTGCTAGGATCTGCACCTTGGATTTTGGGGTTAGAGCCAAAATACAGAATCACAAATTATATTTTTAACACCCAGCTTGCATTACCAGACACCCACTACTATGTTAATCGCTAACTACTATCACCCTTCTAAAAGACAGAAACAGAATTGCAAAGCACACCTTGAACTTTTGTTCCATGAACTTACATGATAAATAAAATAATTGTTACATGAAATTAACAAAGAGTTTTCTCTTTGTTAATGGTAGGTGTGATCATACAGGCTCTCCATATTTAAATAAATTACCTAATTCAGTATATATGTTGTTAAGACTCGAAGTGTGTTGTGTGCAGGAAGAAATGGTAATTGTTCAAGAAAACTTCAAGAATTCACTGTTGTCCTTCTGTTTTTTAGCTTTCAGAAGAAGTACAAGCAGTAAACCAATGCAACATTATTTTACCCTATCTCTGATGCTGGATTTGGGAGAGTATGTATACATACTTATTTACAACAGGTTTGATCTTCTGTTCTCCAAGGAAATACAGTGACTCAGAGTAGCAAATGCACATGTTATGATAGTTTCTGAACTGCCATTACAAATTTAATCCAAGATGGTTTCCTTGATTTTTCCCCTGAATTAATACTGTATTCCTAAATTAGTACTGTATTGTGATGTACTGATTCCCTTGTCATATTAATTCTAGAATCATACCTGCAGGATGCCTCCAATCTAAAAGATGGAACATTTCTGAAGGGACATAAAAATTGCTGCTTATTGAAAATGGCATTAGTCCAGACTTGAAAGTGTGTCAGTGTTACTATGTGTGTGAGGAACATGTGTTGCATCTACTGGACAGTACACATCATCTAAATACCCCATCATCAGATAATGTCAACATAATCTAACTTAATTATCATTGGAATTCTAAGCTTATGTTCTCCCTACACTACTCACAACATACATATGCAGAAGAATAGTTGAACATCTTAAGGATTTAGTATTTTCAAATGCAAAAGGTGATAATATTAAAACACATCATGTAATTATCAGTAGGATTAAATGCTATAGTCAATATACAGTACATAAAGACTATTCACAGCACTGTAGCCATGTACAGTCTTTTAAATGGGTACTGAATAAGCAAACTCAGGTCCCTTGTAGGGACACTCTCACCCACTGGGATATTTCCTGGTCCCTCTAAGTGAAGTATTTTAACATCAAAGGATATAAAAACCTGTGAACAATCATCACACAAAGGGTTAGTATAGACCCTATCTATGTTTGAAAATGGGAACCAGATTCCATGTTACATTCAATTAACCTCCTTCTCATAGTTGTTTAGATGATATAAGTACACAAATATGATTCTTTATCAACTACACTCACTATTAGAGAGACTACCAATTTATAATCCACACTCAAAACCACAAGTGTAGTTACTGATTAGTTTTTAGAGTAAAAAAATACCTTATCAATTCCATTCTCTAAGAATCAGTTTAACTTAAAATATTTATGACCTCAATGTGTAGAGTAGGAATGTCTCATGTCTTCATATTAGTGTCCACTTTTCAATAATTTCAATAATTGTGCTGTACATTTATTGCCTGGTAGGATTTGCTTTATACCATTATTGTACCTTAAAAATATGAATATACTTTATCTTTAGCATGAATGGCTTTACATAGTACATAAGGTTGATTTTATATGTGTACTTCTCACTCAAATTAACATTATAACACAAATAACTCTGTACTTTGTGTTATACATTCCCTGCATGATAAACCCATCCTCACCACATGTGAAAAAAAGCACTGTGTATTTAGTCTTCTAAGTGTTGTTTCATAGGGAACCAAGATTGGATTGTTTAAGTTCAAAATGTTAATGAAGGAGTTAACTTAGTTAACTAAAGCGCAACTATTTTTAATAAAGTATTAAGTGCTCTTCCTTTTTGTAGTAAGGCTGAAAGAGAGCTCATGTGAGAAAGCAATATACAGTAGCTATTACCCTGTCTCTGGGACTAGATCTCACTAGTCATTCCAGGATGAACACGGGATTGCATACTTTCAAATGAAAGCACACGTTTAGTTTATTTGTTTAATTCAAATTATGAATATACTGAGTGGTTACCTAGTGATGGTACAAGCTGATGGCAAGGTCACTTCATTTGCATGACTATGTGGCTAGCAGACCGCCAAAACTATCCTGTTAAAAATGATCTTACTATTTGTAATCGTTTTTAAGTTCCACCTCTCTGATCCTTTCCTCCTAAGTGATTTCAAATGAGCAGAGAAAAAGGTGTCGTTTATTCTTTCCTCAACTATTTCCAACAATAGCTCATATTTACTGTTGTTTCATTTATTTGAATTTTAGAGATTTATATTGCATATAGCTATCCTCAAATTATGACCCTATGTTTCATGAAAACTTAGATATTTACCACTTTAGCAGAGTCCTAAGCCCTATAATATTTATAACATATTTATTAATTTTACATTTACTTAGACACCAAAGAACATTAATAAAATTAGGAGATTTGCTACAGCAAACTCCAAGGTATCTAGAAGTCAACTCAAACCAATCTATATTTACTTGATGCTTTGGACCCAAGTTATGTTCAGTGTGTATATCTGTGCATATATGTCTGTCTGTGTTTGTGCACATGCATGTGTTAATTGTATCCATCTTCAAGAATTCATATCACAACCAGATTTCTAGTTAAAGATTTAAAGTTTTCAACACTTGAATACTGATGGAGGTCATCCAAATTTATTTATCTTCTTAGCTTTGAGTCATTACCCCGGTACTTTCCTAATTCTTTAAAAATTTAATCAAATTTTGATGAAGATCTTCTACACAAGCCATTTGTGTCAGACTATGTCAGGATATAAACCAGTTTCAAAGATATCTTCATTTCTTCATTAAGTTTAGAACACTTGAATCAACATAACTGAATCATTCAAAATTTACTCATACTTACCCATGAATTATGGCTCTTCTTCAAGAATATATACTGAGGCTATGGATTTTGAATTTGACTTTTCCCCTTTGTATTTATTGTTTTCTATTTTGCATTACAATGGAACCTCAAAACCCCAAGCATCTCTCCCCAAGTCAGGAGAAAAAATTTCCTGGATTCCCCATCATATTTCTTGTCCTTCAAATATCAAGTGATACATTATCAGTAGGCCAAGTGCTTTGAGCTCATTTTTCCACTTATGAAAATCAAGGTATGCAAATACCCCTGTGCTCCCAGAAACACAAGCTCAATTTAAGTTATGTCACTGAGGAACAAAGGCAATTAAATTAGCCTTCTCATTCCCCTTGATGCCTTTCACTGACCATACCACTTTGGTGGTAATTTGTCTCAAAAACCATGTCAAGTGTGTTCAAGATCAAATACAGATGCTCCCCAGCATCACATGCCTCACATGACATCCAGGTGTAAAAGGTCTCTCAAAGACTGACTTTCCCTTTTGAATTTGAATAAAAAAAAATCATTCCTCTGGAGCCTTGCATCTTTGTTGACAGTACTGTGCTCTCACCAAAAATTTAAGCTTCCATTGCCACTTTAAATGTCATAGAAATGATCTTCTCTGTGGAAGCACAGTGTTTATAACAAAATAAATGTTCTTAATACCACTCCCAAGTTAATTTAGAACATGGCTGTGCTTGTTTGTTATAAAACTTTAAACCATGAATTTATCTTAGCAAAAAGAATAAGAAACCATAATGCTATGTTCCATTTTCAACATTCTTCCAATTTGTCATACAGAAACAGTAAATATCTTGAAAGCAAAGTTATCTAACTAGGATTTGGCCTTAGTACTTAAATATCCTAATTATTATAGTAAAACGTGGTGAATATAAATGTAACATCCATAGTAATAATCATGAATAGTTCAAATTTTTCTAATTGCTTTTAGTTTAGGATAATGGTTACATTCCACATTAGGTGGTTATTAAAGCTATGCATAGCTATATACTGATGAATCATAAATGTGTCTCAAGTCACCATTTTATACTGATTACTTACTGACATTTTCTATTACGTCTTAAATAATTTGATGAAACAGAATAGTTTCTCAGAGCCTGAGAGAATTTAGCATTTTCGTTTTCTTCTTTTTTTAATTAAGAAATTTTCTATTCATTTTACATACCAACTACAGATCCCCCTCTCCTCCCTCTTCCCACCCCCAGCCTTCTGCCCTCAACCTAGACACAATTCCCACCTCCTCCAAGGCAAGGCCTCCTATGGGGAGTCAGCAGAGCCTGGTACATCCAGCTGAGGCAGATCCAAGCCCCTTCCCCTGAAACAAGGCTGTATAAGATGTCTCACCATAGGTGTTGGGCTCCGAAAAGCCAGCTCATGCACCAGGGATGTATTCTAATCCCACTGGCAGGGGCCCCTTTAAATAGGTCAAGCTACACAACTGTCTCACCTATACAGAGGGCCTAGTCCATTCCCATGGAGGCTCCATGGCTTTTAGTCCACAGTTCACAAATTCCCACTACTTTGGTTTAGTTGTCTCTGTACATTTCCCCATCATGATCATTGGAAGTTAATATAGAATTTAGAAAATATTATTAAAGCCTTCAGGATACACCAATTCACTGCAAACTCTTTAAAAATTAAAGGTTAGATATTCATAATTGTGTTATTATGTTTGATTTACAAATGATAGAAGTGGTTATTCCATAAAAAGATCATTATTGGTGAAATTATTAAGGCCACTCCATGTAGTTAAAAGGATATTTATTTAACTTACAAATTAAGGGATAGGTAGGTTGTGGGGTCTGGGGAAGGTGTATTGCAGTCCAGCGGTGTTCTGTGGAGCTCTGCTCCGTCCATTTCCACCGTTCAGGGTCCCGGAACAGAGAGAGCGCTGGCCCATCCAGCTCTCGGGTATCCAGATGCCTCCCCTGGCAGAGTCTCAGTGAGGGTTGGAACTTCCAGATCAAAGCTGGAATGGCTACCCACTACATCTCCCCCTTTTT